ATTTATTAACAATAATGTACTCAATGAGTCATCTATCCTTCATCTTCTAGTATTAACTCTTACTTTCGATCTTTCTTGGAAACCACATATCAAATCCATCGCAAAATTAACATCTGCTAAGGTTGCATCTCTTTATCAAGCTCGACACTTTCTTACTATGGATTCTATTCTTTATCTCTATAAATTTCAAATCCGGTCTTGTATGGAATAATGTTGCCATATCTGGAGCGAATCTACTAATGATGCTTTTTCTCTTTTAGAGAAGGTACAAAAACGCATTGTAAACATAGTTGGACCTGCTCTTGCAGTCAACCTTTGACCATTATCACATCTTTGTAATGTTGCTTCTCTTTATCTTTTTTATAAATACTATAATGGGCACTGCTCTAAAGAGCTAGTGTCTCTTGTGCCATCTACTAAAATTCATTCTCGTGTTACTCGTCATTCAATTAAGTCTCATGCTTTTTCTGTGATTGTTCCTAAGTGCTCTAAAAACTCTTAATCCTCTAGTTTTTTTCCTCAAACATCAGTTCTTTGGAATTTGCTTCCTTTATCTTGCTTTCCTGATTCATATAATTTGCTATTTTTTAAGTCTACTGTCAAACATTATCTTGCTCTACAATCTTCATCTTTTCTCTTCCAGTAACTTCCAACTCTAATTAGTGGTTGTTAGCAGCCTTGTTGGAAGCAAAGATGTTCAAAAAAAAAAAAGTGTAATTGGGAAAGTTTTTGAGATTATCAAATCGTTTTTTTTCTAACCAATTTATCAAAGTCATCCTCAAAGGCCAACACTCTTCTTTATTTCCAGTATCGACTGGGGTAGCTCAAGATTCTGTCCTTGGTCCTGTTTTGTTTCTTATAAACAGCAATGCTCTTCCTGACAACCTTGACATCTAAAGTCTTTGATGACAACTTAACTTTATACTTTCACAACTATATAACTTATACTTTCACAACTATATAACTTATACTTTCACAACTATATAACTTTATACTTTCACAACTTCTTTTGACAAAACGTCTCTTTCTGATCAGATTAAACAGTTTCAGGGGCTTTTACGAGGGGCTTTTAGCCCCCTACGAGGGGCTTTTTTAAACAGTTTGGGGCTCTACGAGAACATACGTGTATTACTTATGAAAGAAAACATCAGGTTGTGAAGAATTTTCAACACTTCAATTTCAAGAATATTCCATTTTCAGCATGTAAAAAAATGATAATGAATACAGCAAGCAAGAATCTGATCTCACTTCTGTAACAAATTGGGGTTTGCAGTGACTTGTAAATTTAAAGTCCAACAAAATTCTGTTATTTATTGTAAACTACTATCACAATACTGTGGATATTCCTATATTAGTGAATGGCAACCCAATATCTATATTTAAAAATGTTATCCAAAAATGATAAAATTTATCAATAAACATTATAATGATCATTTGTATTTTTTAGTGGAACCCCGCGTTAAATAATAAATAACAAAGTTATGCAGGTTTACTAAGTGGCAACTTTCTCACTGAGTCCTCTTCTTTATGTCTTTTTGGATTATCATTCACTAATGACCTCTTATGAAAACAGTATATACAATCAATTAAGGTTCTTTTTCTTTATTGTGTTTGCCATTATCTTACTCCTGATTCCATTCTCTACCTCTAAAATCTCTTACTCACCCCTTTATGGAATACTGTTGTCATATTTTAGCTGGTTCTTCTAATGATGCTCCTTTTTTTCTAGATAAGATACAAAAATGCATTGTAAATGTAGTTTGACCTGCTTTATTTGTCAAGCTTCAGCCTCTCTCCCATTGTCATAAGTCTGCATCTCTTTTTCTTTTCTACAAATACTATTATGGTGGTTGCTCAAAGGAGACACACCTCTAGTTCCATCAACTAAAACTCACTCTTACTTGACTTTTAGTGAAGTCTCATTCTTTTACTGTATCTGTCCCTGCATGCCCTAAAAACTTTTATTCATCTAGTTTTTTTACCCGCACTTCAACCCTTTAGAGCTCTTTCCCATCTTTATGTTTTCCTGACTTGTATAACCTACAGCTTTACAATTCTTCTGTCAACCATTTTCTTGCTCTTTAACAATATTCTTTGCTTTCTTGTTTAACTTATCTCCCAACTTAATAGTGGCTGCTTGCAGCCTTGTTGGGAATAAAACTGAACTATATACATATTTATTAGAGGTATTTAATTTACTGAATTATATACATTTATATACATGTTTACTAGAGGTATTGGGACAGATACTTAATAAGTATCTCTCCCAATACCTCTTCTAAAACCAATACCTCTATTAAAAATTGAAATATCTTAGCAGTGTTTTTAAAAGTTTATATGAGTATAATAATAGTTGATATTAAATGAGCACTAAATATTAATTAAAAGAATCTAGTTACACTAGGGATACCTGAAATCTTTTCACATAGTCAAAAATTGTCTGTAAGTTTTTTGTCTAATTTAGGATAATAGAATTTCTAAAGGAGATAGTAGATCTCTCACTGTATCTATTTTGTGTACTGTAGCATGAAACTATAACTAAACTTTATTAACTTTAAATTCTTTAATTTAACAACTTAAAACTCTTAATGACTTAAAACTCTGTAACATTAACAGTTGTTATTGTTAGAATTTAAAGGAATCAATTGGCATTAATGGGCTGTTATACAAAACATTAGATGTAAAAGGCAATTTATTGGATATGCTATGACCCCATAGAGTATAAACAATTTTCTCCTTGAACTATAAAATAATATTATAGTATAAAATACAATATATACTAAATTAATATTATAGTATATAATACAATATATACTAAAATAATCATTAGGCTATAAGTTTTAAATTTGGCACTTAAATAATGCAGTACTGTCCAACACCGGTGACCATAAACACGTTTAACAACCTGTTTATATATATATATATATATATATATATATATATATATATATATATATATATATATATATATATATATATATATATATATATATATATATATATATTAGGGTTCGGAAAATGTGTCTGCGCAGACAAAATAAAACTATTTTCAAAATAGGCGTCTGTCTATTTTGTCTGAATTTTTTTTTCATAATTTTCTACTTTTTAAGAGTTTTTCATTACTTATTTCTTTTTGCTTCGAGCTGCATATAATCAATCAATATAAACTTATGTAAGTGTTTCTTACTACAATTTTAAGTGATTTAGAATCAAGAAATTGTGTATTTTCATCATTCAAATTGTTTAAAATGGAAAACATCAAAATTTTGAATTATTTGACAAATCTTAATCGAGAGAAGCATTCTGGCACTTGTTTAGCATGTACCAAAACTGTTCAATGTTCATAGGAATGCCTTGAAGCGCATAAAAGATGAGCATGTCCAAACTCCAAACGCCAGTGTCGAGAAAAAGAGATTGTTTTCTAAGCGTAATTATGAATCGCCTATCTAATCAATGGTTCTCAACAACTTTCATCTACGTCTGATTCACCGACGCAGCGTATACATCCACCAATTAATGAAGAGCTCAAAAATGATATCAACACGAAGCTTGCTAATTTCTTTTGTTGTATGGGTGTATAATTTTGTTTAGTCGAATCCGAAACCTTTAAGGATTTTGTTAAGTCTCTCAATCCATCGCATGCATTAGTCATCCCCAATGTTAAAGCTTTATTAGGATCTCTGCTCCACAAACAATACACAAAATGTTCTACTTCTGTAAATGAAATTTTGAATTCTGAAATAAACTTAACACTGATGTCTGACGGCTGGACAAACATAAGAGGCGATCACATAGTGAATTTTTGTATTAAAGCGCCCGATCTAAAGCCTTTTTTTTACACCTCAATAAATACATCGGGAATCATTCAAAATTCATCTGCAGTCACCGTGGCAATCTTACAAGTTATTAAGAAGATTGGCTCACAAAAATTTACCAGTTTCATAAACGACAATGCTCCTGTTATGAAATCAGCGTGGAGGATCATTGAGGAGAAATATCCACACATCTTGGCTAGCAGATGCGGAGCTCATGGAGTCAACTTGCTTGTGAGTTTCTACAACTGAGGCCACAAAAACGAAATTGCTAAGCCTATTAACGAAATAATCTGCTCATTCGCTACAGCAAAAAGAGCTTGGTCGAACTTTCGATTTATTCACTCGAGACTAAGAAATCGTCTTACGAATGCGAGAGTTGTAAAGCTGGTATTCTTGTATACCAATAGCGTGCTGATGGATAAAAATGACAAGACTGATTACATTCTTGAAGAAGGTGCAATTCTCCATGAAATTGAATGTCAAGAAATCACCGAATAGGCGCCAGCATTATATTTTTTTATTACTGTAAGAATCTTTGAAAACTCCTATTGTTACTAATCACTGAATTTATAATTAAGTTAAAATATTACTTAAAACATTTTTTAAATTGAAAACCTTTTTTGTTGATTTCAAAAAATCGTCTGCAAAGCAATAAATTTTGTCGGCGTCTGCGCAGACAAATTACACTGCGCAGCCAGTCCGAAACCTTATATATATATATATATATATATATATATATATATATATATATATATATATATATATATATATATATATATATATATATATATATATATATATATATATATATATATATATATATATATATATATATATATATATATATGTATATATATATATATATATATATATATATATATATATATATATATATATATATATATATATATATATATATATATATGTATATGCATATATTTTATATATATATATATATTATGTATATATATTATATATATATTATATATATTATATATATATATATATATATATATATATATATATATATATATATATATATATATATATATATATATATATATATATATATCTGTGTGAGTGCATATATCTGTATATATATATATATATATATATATATATATATATATATATATATATATATATATATATATATATATATATATATATATATATATTTAATAGAATAGTTTTAAGTCGTCCTGCTGTACAGTTGATTGTGAGCAGTATATACAAGTGTCATAATGTTGGTGATCCTGGCGATATGTGGCTAGGAGCTGCTATTAAACAACTTCGAATTCCATTAGTTCATACAAATTCATTTCATCAGGTTAATTTTTTTTTAATTTATTTTCAGAAATAGTAGTATAGCAAGTATCATCTTTTAAAAGCCATTTTATTTTATTTATAAATATGATTTGTAAAAATAAAAATGCTAAAAAAGTATAATTTATATAAATTTAATATTTATATTAATTATATATAATATTATAATAATAAATTTTATATTGAAGTTTATAAAACAAATTTTCCTATTTATTTTTCAAAACTGCTATAATAAACATTAGATTTTTTGTTTGTTTAAATATTTTATATTTTACAGGCACAACCAAACCAATATAACAAAGATTTTTTGTCGCATCGGTATTTGGTTTCTTTTCACATAGATGGCAATATGAACCCTATAGATGTCTATAAAACCTACTTAACTAACGACCAAGGTGATAAATCCGTCAATAATAATGAAAAAAGAGAAGAGCTATAGTGTCTAGAGACAAAGAGTTATAGTGTAATGTGCCATAGAGTGTTTTACGCGTTTTTTAACTTGCACGCTTTTTAAAAAGTCTCGCCAAAAAATGAAAAAAAAAGTTATATGATCATCAAAAAAATGGCGACAAGCAACAAAAGCTTATCGATATATAAGTTAAGTGATTTATTTTTTTAAATTAATAGGTTAAATCTGTATCTTACGATGCAAGCGGTTTACCTATTTTGATAATTTTTTTTTAAATAAAGTTTTTGCAAATCTTACAGCACACAACTTAATGTTAATATGAATAACCGGTTAACTTATGGATAAAAGGTATCAAATTAGTACTCAAACCTTTTTATCTTTTTATAGCTCTTTTTTGTATAAACATATATTTATACTAATATTAAACTATATTGTTTTAATTATTCACGCAACTAGTTTTGCATTTGCGTTAACTTGCAAAGTTGTTGCATAACTTAATTATTGTTGCGTTGGTATAATTTTGCAATAGTTGTTGCATAATTAATTTTATTAATATCAATATTAATTTTAAATTTGTTGCATTTTTTAAAATCTTTGATTTATTTAAATTGATTTATTTATAATTTAAAAATATTTTCATAACTTTATGTTATTTATATATTATGAAAATTGCTTTTTTAAAGTTATGTTTAATATTTATTGATACTTCTTTTTTTTATGTTTTTCATATATTTATCGTGTGGTAAACAAAATACTGTCAAATTACTTATATATTTTTTTTGAATCTCTTTTAAACTTTTCTGTTAAGTTTTATGAATTATTTAACATTTTTATGAATTTTATTTATATAAATTAAAAAAAAAAAAACTATATTGATATGTATTTTGATTTCGGACTATTTATAAAAAGTTGTATGTAGTTTTATTTTTTGTAATGAATAATTATATTGGATTTTTTGTATGAGATAGTAATAAGTATATTTTATGCACATGATCTTACGGGTTTTTGACAATGTGTCATTGATTTTGGCTATCATTAATTTTTGACAGTTTTTTAAAAATAAAATTTATTTAATTTATTCAATTGTTAAATTACATCAATCTGTGTAGTTAACTAATATAATTAGTCATACATCAGACCCGTCATATCAATCAATCAATATAGTTAATATAATTAGTCATATATCAGGCCCGCATAGTTTGATGATTCAGATAAAAAACCTTTAGGAATTGTGCAAACTTTTAACTTGAGTATGTTCATGCTTATGTCAAATAAAAGTGTTTTGCAAAAAATTGCGATGATTGGAGCCTGGGAACAAAAATACCTCTCACATTTGCAGTGAAAGTGTGCACTTCCGCTGCAAATGTGAGAGAAACGAGTTAATATTTTTTTTAAGCGTATTACATTAAATTAAAATTTATCAACAGGTTTTTTATTTTATTTAAAAATCTTTTGACTTTCGAAAGTTGTGACCATGTGAAATTTACAACCCCCTCATTTTAAGAAAGGCAGAAATTTTACATGGTCATAACTTTTAAATGATGAAAAATTATTAAATAAAGTTAAAAACATGTCGATAAGTTCAAATGTAGTATAAAATGCTCAAATGGTATATTTCATTAGCAGCCGAGGCGCAGTGGTAGCCCACTTGACTCAGAAACAAAGCATCCGTTCTTCTGGGCAATTTTTTCGACATCGGTTAGGAAGGAGACGTGAACTTCCAATTAAATGCTCATCCGCGGTGCTCTGTGATAAGACCGTTATGATTTCTTGGCACATAAATAAAATTCAAATATATATATATATATTTCATTAACTCAATGCCCTTACAAACGGGGTGGGAAAGCACTTTTTTATGGGTCAATTTGTTCCCAGGCTGCAATTTTTTTTGCAAAGCACTCTCATTTGACTTAAGCATAAACATATGGAGCTGAAATGATTGTACAATTCCTGAAAGTGTTCTGAAACATCGTAGATTTCTGCTTCCTGCTTCATCGTAGAATCCTGCTTCATCGTAGAATCCTGCTTCATTGTAGAATCCTGCTTCCTGCTTCATCGTAGTATCCTGCTTACATTTAAATCATATTATCTGGCTGTACATTTAAATATTCACAAAATTTGAAGAAAAAAAAAAGTACTGTTTCAAATTTTGATCGAAAAAGGGCAATTTCATCAAATAAAAACCATAAAACGTCAAGAGAAATACTTCAAGTTTTTTGACATCAGACGTACGTCTGTTGTGAAATTATTCGTCAATTTACCAAAACTGCCCGACGGGCATTTGTTTTTAAAAGTTACGTTCTAAATGTGTTTTAAATATCTTTTAAACGTCTTTTAAATATTAATGCTTAAAAGACGTTTAAAAGACATTTGAAATACATTTAGATCGTAACTTTTAAAAAGAAATGCCCGTCGGGTGGTCAAATTATAGCAAATTGTAAAGGTTCTGTTCTAAATCCAAAGCTTTCAAAAGAACATAATCAAATCTTGGGTTGACGCGGATTAAACAACTTTTTTAAGAAAGTTCTCACATTAAAACACTAGCTATAGCAATTGTCAATTTATTCTTGAAACATTTCTATTTGATGTACTGAATGAATGAATCAGAATGACATTGCCCTATAACTGGTAGTTGCAGTTTAACTTTTTACTGACGTTATTTAGGAATTGTAGATGAAACTCTGAGAATCAGATATTTATGACAAATATATCAATAGGATTTAAAAATATTTGTCATGAATGATGTCCACTTTCATCGAATGTTGGCATTCAAAATTTAATTTTGGATGGGTAAACTGGTGTAACGTTGGCACAAATATTTTTTCCTTGATGTGACAATTATTTGATGCAAAATATTTTTGCGTGTTGAACCAATAATAATGCTACCAGAAAGTAATAAAACTTTTTATTGGTCATGTTATATTATTAATAGATAATTGGTTTTGCTGTTGGCGTTCAACTGTCAATGTTATCCTCTATATGGGGTAACATTGACATTAATATATTTTGTGCCGTAAATATTAATTTCCATTGTGAGAGTTATAACTATTATTGTAAATTTGATCAAAAACAGAGAAAACATTTTAAATATATACTAGCACTAACTTACTTTATCGTTTTAAAAGTTAGCAGTAGTAAAGAAGTTGTAAAATGTAATGAAATACTATTATTTGAAAGATATCAATTAGCTTCTGTTCCGATGGTGTCTACTTGAAGAAATAAAAAAATGTTAATTTATAATTTAAATTTTTCTATAATCGTCAAATTATTCAAAAAAAAGTAAATACCTGGTATATTGTTAAAATGGATTTAAACATTTCTAAAAAATAAAAGACAAAAAGAAATTGTCTCATCTTGGAAGGGTATATTTAGTGGTGTGCCGCAGGGCTCTGTTATTGGCCCTTTACAATTTACAATTTATAGTAATGATTTACCTGAGAACTTTATTAATAATTCAAAGCTGTGTGCCGATGATACAAAAGTATTATCAAGGGTTGATTGTGAAGCGAGTGTTAACCTATTGCAAAATGACTTAGATAAGGCTGTCAACTGATCCAACAAATGGTTATTAAAGTTTAATTTTGAGAAGTGTTTGATAATGCACTTTGGTAAAAATTAAAAAAAATTATTTTATGCAAAGTATACCTTTAAGTACCACTGTCGCTGAAAAAGATCTTGGTGAAGTATTTATTTAAAATGGAAAAATCAAATAACTCTTTATGTAAAGTAAATGAAGTTTTGAATATGTTGAGGATTTTTACGTTTAAATAGTGAATTACCAACAGTTATATACACAACTTTTGTAAGACCATTAATTGAATTTGCTGTATCGGTGTGGTCTCCATGTCTTAAAAATAAAATTAATCTTTTAGAAAAGATATCGAGCTATAAGAGCAATATCGCCACTAAAAAAATGTTATGAGAAAAGATTAGATAAAATGGGTCTCATTACTTTAGTTGTAAGACGAATTCGGGGTGACTTGATTCAAATGTACAAGTTATTCAATGGAATTGAAAAAGTAAATTTAATTAATAAAATTTCGCCAAGAAGTTATCAATTAGGAAGAGATCATTAATTAAAATATGTCCACGAAATAACTAATGTTTTGCCTCGGCATTATTTTTAATAAACAGATTATTTTTTTGCAGGGATCGACTGATGTTGTTAATGCTATTTCTGTGAACTCTTTTAAAGCTAAGCTCGACATATGGATTTTAAATAATGCAACTATGCTAATTAATGATGTAGCTATCTAAGTGTACTTGGTTACACTCACCAAATTATCGGTCAAAGCTCAAATATTAACACATTAATGATTCAATAACTGACTCCGACAAAATTTCGTTGTTTTTTTGTTGTTTTTTTTGCTGATTTTTTTTTATGACAGACATTTTGGTGTTTCTGACAGACATTTTGGTGTTTTTTTATGACAGACATTTTGGTAAGTTTCTGAAACACCGAGTAATTTAGATTTTTAGGATCTGATGATTTGTTCTTATCATTATTATGCAACGTTATTAGGTATGGATTTTAACTTTTTGCAAGTGTCAATTTTTAGATCTGTTGATATTTGATGCATTGGTACTTTTTTTTTTAATCTAACTCTTTTAATTTAGGGTTTGCTCTGTTTGCTAGGATTTGCTTTGTTTCTGCTGAATCTTTCACTGTGTAATCATTGTGAAATTTGTGAAAAAGTCAGTAGTTGTAAGACATTCCGCCAGCTTTTTCGTGATTTTTCACCCATGGGGTGACTTTAGCACTCCTGTCAATGTTGCCTGAAGTATGTATTTAAAAAAAGTGCTAAAAAAATCTGAAATGCTTAGTATATAGAAACACATGAGCAACATAAAAACACATGAGCAACAATATTCCCAGACAGCAAGCTTACATTGGACCAACGTTGGGCCAATGCATGATGATGCATTGGCCCAACGTTGAAAGTCGATGTTGGCCCAATGCAGGTTTGATCATTGGTTAGGTATTGGCCCAATGTTGTGTACAACATTGGCCCAATGTTGTATACAATGTTTACCCAACATCGGCCCAACGTTGTATATAACGTTAGGCCAATGTTGTATACAACATTGACCCAACGTTGTATACAACATTGGCCCAACGTTGTATACAACATTGGCCCAATATCGTATGTTATATATCGGCCTAACGTTTTATGCAACATTAGATCGTTGTGACAAATAAGATGATTTGCATCGCTACATTGAAAATTTATAGAGAAAAAAAAGAATGTATGATACAAGTATAAAAATTTATTTATTTAACATAATTTATCGGTTAAATATACATATTGCAAACACCAAAGTTAAACCAAAAACTTACACATTGAGTTTTAATAAAAAAATTCACTACAAAATTTATAGAGTAGTTTCGATATTGGCTGAGCTACTTGTTATTGAATAGTGTTTAGCTTATGATATTTGGTGCCCACGATTATTATTTTTTCTTCCTCTATCTCTATCACATGTCTGCATAAGCCATGCTTATTTGAATTCACAGTTTCTGCAAAAAAAAAAATAGTTGTTTGTTTAATTATGCACCAAAGAAAAATAACAAATTGAAAGTAATTCTGTAATGCAAAATTGAAACTGAAAAAATAAACTTTTCTTAACCACTTACCAATAGCAGCATATGCAATCAACATTTTTTCTATTCCAATTTTTTGTCCTCTCCCTGCATTGTTTAATTTTACAACTAGGCCATTTTAAAAAACTATTCTTAGCAAATAAAATATACAATCTCCTTTGTCTTTAACTCCGATTTGTGCCAAATAATTGACCTGCAAAAATACACAACCTGGCAATAATTAAAGTAACTTTTGTTTAGACTTAAATTAATATAAAATGTAATTTACAAAAAATCTTCAAAGAGTATTTTATTTAAAGTATATAAATTGTACTAAGATATCATACAAAATGCATAAAAAAAATTATAAAAAAATATT